AGTCATCATTAGAACAAATAGATCACATTCTGGATCATAAAACAAATCTTGTTTGTTTGTTTGTTTCTTTGTTAGGATCTTGCTCTGCCGTCCAGGCTGGAGTGCAGTGGTGCAGTATCGGCCCGTCCAGGCTGGGGTGCAGTGGTGCAGTATCGGCCCGTCCAGGCTGGGGTGCAGTGGTGCAGTATCGGCCCGTCCAGGCTGGGGTGCAGTGGTGCAGTATCGGCCCGTCCAGGCTGGGGTGCAGTGGTGCAGTATCGGCCCGTCCAGGCTGGGGTGCAGTGGTGCAGTATCGGCCCGTCCAGGCTGGGGTGCAGTGGTGCAGTATCGGCCCGTCCAGGCTGGGGTGCAGTGGTGCAGTATCGGCCCGTCCAGGCTGGGGTGCAGTGGTGCAGTATCGGCCCGTCCAGGCTGGGGTGCAGTGGTGCAGTATCGGCTCACTGCAGCCCAACTTCACAGGCTCAAACAGCCCTCCCACCTCAGCCTCCCGGGTAGTTGGGACCACAGGCTTTTGCCACCACACCTGGCTAATTTTTGTATTTTTGGTAGAGATTGGGTTTCACCATGTTGCCCAGGCAGGTTTCGAACTCCTGAGCTCAAATATTCCAACCCGCCTTGGCCTCCCAAAAGTGCTAGGATTACAGGCATGCACCACTGCTCCAATCCCATAAAACAAATCTCAACAAATTTAAAAGAACTGAAATAATACAAAGCATGGTCACTGATCATAATGGAATTAAGCCAGAGATCAACAACTGACAAAAATCTCTAAATACCTGGAAATTAAATAACATACTTTTTTTTTTTTTTGAGACGGAGTTTCGCTCTTGTTACCCAGGCTGGAGTGCAATGGCGCGATCTCGGCTCACCGCAACCTCCGCCTCCTGGGTTCAGGCAATTCTCCTGCCTCAGCCTCCTGAGTAGCTGGGATTACAGGCACGCGCCACCATGCCCAGCTAATTTTTTGTATTTTTAGTAGAGACGGGGTTTCACCATGTTGACCAGGATGGTTTCGATCTCTTGACTTCGTGATCCACCCGCCTTGGCCTCCCAAAGTGCTGGGATGACAGGCTTGAGCCACCGCGCCCAGCCAATAACATACTTCTTTTTTTTTTTTTTTTTTTTTTTTTTTGAGACGGAGTTTCGCTCTTGTTACCCAGGCTGGAGTGCAATGGCGCGATCTCGGCTCACCGCAACCTCCGCCTCCCGGGTTCAGGCAATTCTCCTGCCTCAGCCTCCTGAGTAGCTGGGATTACAGGCACGCGCCACCACGCCCAGCTATTTTTTTTTTTGTATTCTTAATAGAGACGGGGTTTCACCATGTTGACCAGGATGGTCTCGATCTCTTGACCTCGTGATCCACCCGCCTCGGCCTCCCAAAGTGCTGGGATTACAGGCTTGAGCCACCGCGCCCGGCCAAATAACATACTTCTAAGTAATCCGTGGATCAGAGGAGGTAGTCTCAAGGGAAAGGAGAAAATTAGAATATAATACTCAGAAGAAAAATGAAAATACAATAAATCAAAATGTGTAGATGCAGCTAAAGACGAGCTTAGATGGAAACATAGAGCATTTGATTCTTATTTTAGAAAAGAAGGAAAGTTCCCATCAACAATCTAAACCTCAGCTTTAATAAACTAAAGAAAAAAAAAAAGACAAACCTAAAACAAGCAGAAGGAAGGAAATTTTGGTAAGTTAATGAAGGCACCCCGAAAAGGTCGCATATTGTGTGATTCCATTTACAGGACATTATGGAAAAGGCAAAGCTACAGGAACAAAAAGCAAGTCCGTTGGTGGCCAGGGATTGGGGTGAGGTGAGGAAGCCATGACGGGGAAGCATGAGAAGTTTTTTGAAAGTGATGAACTGTTGGGAATCCTGATTGGGGTGGGATTACAAAATTCATAAAACAGTATAATAATAATCTCGGCCGGGCGCGGTGGCTCAAGCCTGTAATCCCAGCACTTTGGGAGGCCGAGGCGGGTGGATCACAAGGCCAAGAGATCGAGACCATCCTGGTCAACATGGTGAAACCCCGTCTCTACTAAAAATACAAAAAAAAAAAAAAAAAAAAATTAGCTGGGCGTGGTGGTGCGTGCCTGTAATCCCAGCTACTGAGGAGGCTGAGGCAGGAGAATTGCTTGAAACCAGGAGGCGGAGGTTGCAGTGAGCCGAGATCGCGCCATTGCACTCCAGCCTGGGTAACAAAAGCAAAACTCCGTCTCAAAAAAAATAAATAAATAAAATAAAGGACCATTAAAAATAATAATAAGAATAATAATAATCTCTCCCTCACACACACAGATACACACACAATCTCTTTCTGACCATGCAGACAGTGTCTATTCACCACTGCCAACAGTATGCCAGGTATAATAAAACTAAATATGTTTTCTGATTGAATGAAAACCATTCATTCAAAATGAATCACTGGTACCTGAAAGATGGAGTCGAACTTACGTTTTAATTATAATGGGAATAAGTAGCATTTACTGACTGCTTTTTTATTTGCCAACTACTGTAAAAGATTCAGATGCATCATTCAAATGCATTTGTCACTCTTAGACAATTCTATTCTTTATACTGGTATATTTTGTAGCTATTTTTATTTCTTGGAATTTCAGGTCTTTTTGGTTCTTTCTGATTCTTTCGGCAAACTTTCTTAAATGTCCAAGATCCAAGTTGTGCAGGTAAGGCATAGCAATGCAGCAGAATGACCACCAGATGGAGACAGAGAACACAAAGTTATTCATACGCAAGGTTTTGCAGGACGTGCTTCCCAGCCTCAGGGGTACCTCTGGTTATAAGGTTGCTTCCATTAGGACACTAGTTCTCAAACCTGGCTGCTCGTTAAAATCACCTGGGGATATTTAAACTACTGATGAACAGCCCCCTTTACCCCAGCCCTGAGTTTTGTGGTCTGGAGTATGGTGTTGCCCCTCAGAGTTTCTTGTTGCAGGCAAGTGTGAGAACCACGACTTTCCAACGTGCACCAATGGAGGGCCTCAAGCTGGCGTGTTTCAGAATCATCTGGGGAACTTGTGAAAAACAGAGATTCAGGCTGTCGTCATCTTCACTCTGTTGAGAACCAGTGTATTCCGAAATGGGGACACGCTAACTTTACAATAGTTAAAAATATAATCAGCATTAAATCTGATACAAGGCCAGGTGTGGTGGCTCACATGGTAATCCCAGCACTGCTAATAGCTCCCTGACCTGGAATCAGCCTCCTGCCCTCCCACTCCCGTGGACAGAGGTCAGGCTCTGTGGGAGGGCAGCCCCACAGAGGTCTGGGTGGAGGCATTGGTGGGGACGCAGGGTCAAGGGAAGCTACGTGTTTGGGCACAGAAGCCAGGGACAGCACAGTGACACTGCCTCGGGCAGCGCCCACTGGTTCTTTCACTTCTGGCCAAATGTGTGGCTGTTCAGGGTGCTCAGGAACCTGCAGGTGAAGGAGCGGAGAGGCAGCAGCAGGGGCCCTATCACAGTCCGGGGTCTGAAGGACAGAGCATGCATCACTCTCGCCCCAGCCTGGCCCCCATGGGTGTCTCAGGTACAGAGGTGGGACCACTAAAACCACTGGACAAACAATGCCAGAACGTCTGGCGGCCCAAAGATTTGCGATGAAACGTGTCAAGAGACATGACCCAGTGCAAACATTTTGAGCCACAACAAACAAATGTATATGAATTGTAAGAAGACGACACAGCAGTCAGGCACCCCCTGCGCAGGCTACGTCACCAGATTCCCAGAAGTCGGCACTCCAGGTACGTGGTGGGAAGGTGAGAGGCCAGGGTGAGGGAGCTGGGTTTGGAAGAGCAGCCATGTCACCGTGGTTTCACGTGGGGCCGCGGAGCCAGGCCCCATCCCAGAGGCAGCCCCGCAGGTGGGGCGTATCTCTCTCTCCCTCCCCCCCCATCTCCCCCTCTCCTTTTCCACTTCTCTCTCCCTCTTTACCTCCCTGCCTGCCACTGTTCAGGCTCCTGGGGCCCACCCGGACGGGCACACGCAGGTAGAACCCCTAGGCTACCTCTCACGGCACGCACAGGGCTGGAGGACCTTGGTCCTTCACCTCCCAGCACCCTCAAAATGAGAGGCGTGGGATGTCACCATGCTTTCCTGGGTGGGCGCCCCACGCTCCAGGAAGCAGAAACTGCAGGACAAAGCGGGCTCAAGTGGCGTGCCCGAGGGAATGCCAGCATCCGTCTGCTGAGGCCAACGCAGAGGACGCCAGCCCAGGCCAGGCCCTGCACCAGGGTGGGGGTCGAGGAGGCTGGGGGGGTGAGCGTGCGGGTGGGGATGAGAGCAACCAACTACAATCCAGTCCCAGACCAGCTTCCTGCTCTGCACCCTGCCAGGTAAGGCCCCCCCTCCCGCCCTTACCTGTGCCCCTCACCGGCTCCACCCCTGGGCTGCCCCAGATCCAGGCTCCAGATGTCTCCCTGGCTCCAAAAACCAAGGGCCGCCACCAAGGGCCAGCCCCTAGTTCCTGAGACAGCCACCACCTTGCCTGTCACTTATCCCCACCCCAAGCCAGCCACACCCCCTGTGTCCCCAGCAGTGTTATCACCTTCTCCTGACTTCAGCCCTGAGAGCCCTGCTTCTTGGTAACCTTCCCTGCTCCCACCCTGATCCAGGCAAGCTCAAAGGCCAGCGCCCTCCACCCACCCTTCCTGGGGGCCACTCTGCTGTCAGTGGGCCAATGGATGAATGGATGGATGAATGGACAGTAGTCCAGGGAGGATGTCCCTGTCTGTCCTGAACTGGGCCCTTCCTCCAATGAGAAGCCTTTCTGAGTGAGTGTACACAGTCATCCCTTGGCATCCAGGGAGGATTAGTTCTAGGGTCCCCGGGGATGCCAGACTCCATGGATGCCCAAGTCTCTGATATAACACAGTCTAGTATTTACATATAACCTATGCATGTCCTCCTGTATACAGCAGACCATCTCTAGATTAGTTATGATATGTAACACAGTGTAGATGCTATATAAATGGTTGCGATACTGTATTGTTTCGGGAATGATGACAAGAACAAAGTCTGCATATGTTCAGTAGGGACATAGCCATCCTATCTCTTCTCTGAATGTTTGCCAGTTCTTTCTGGGGTCAGCTCCCTGACCAGGATAGTTCCAGGCCTTGTGCATGTCCTCAGCTCTGCCTGGTTGCCTTACAGTGAGATGAAGCTGCCCCCATCAGTTCCCAGGAGGCCAAGGTAAGATCCTGAGGCATGGGGGGCTGGTCCAGGGACAGGGGACTGGGCAGGTGGTCGGTGAGGCAGAGGAGGCAGCAGGCCTGGGCAGGGGTGGGTGGGAGCAACGTGCTGTCACTGGGAGGGGCAGCTTCCCTGCTGGACCTGACCCCAGGTCATTTTACCTCTGGCAGTTTGATGAAATTCCCAAGTGAGAACCGGAGTTATGGCTTGGGGGTGGCTGCCCACTTGTGTCAGAACCCGACCTAGAAGCTGGGACCTGACCTATGACTGGTGTGTCTGTGGCCTGAGGATGGCACATCCCGGGGACCCAAGGCCAGCCCACTGGCGCTCATAGGCTCGAAGGCTGTCAGCCCTTAGGGTCTGCTCTTCCCTGGCTCCTTCCAGCTGGGTCCCACCGGGGCTCCAGGGTCCAAGACCCAGCAGCCCCTGGCCGCTCTGGGACGCCTGGCAGCTCCACTAACTCCAACATTCGTCATTTGACAGCAAAGGCGGCAGGAGCTGACACACAAGATCAAGTGGATGGAAATGCTGGGAGAATGGGAGAAACGTAAGTACAGCAAAAAAGTAATGTGTGGAGGGAGAGGCCCCAGAACCACTCTCTGCAGGGACAGGGGACAGGCACCCATGGCTGCGGCCTGGCACCGTCAGCCTCTCAGAGGGTAGGTGGCACACTGTCCTCACACAAAGGATCGCAGGCCTGTGTCGCCAGCTTTGCAGCCCGTTGGTGACAGTGTCACCTTGCTGGGAGGAAGTCTGAACGTAGGGCTGGGGCCGCCCAGAGCTCAGAGCTAGGGAAGCCTCCTGGTGACCTGAAGGAAGGAATAGGTCCAGATCAGCGTTTAGGACTCTGAGTGCCCACACTCTTTCGGTCCTGGAGGGGAGACCTGTCCCAGCTTGACGTCACCTCCACCAGGAATCATGGGGCCAAAACCAACTATTTCCAGAACCCCGGGCTTTGGTCCTCACTGGGGTTGCCCCTGGCCTGCGTCCCCAGATTGTTTTCTGCCCACAGCTGGTTGAGAGTCTATAAAGGGATTCCCGTGAACGTCCGGGGCCAGGTGTGGTCAGTCCTCCTGACATTCAGGAAATCAAGGCAAAGAACACCAGGAAATACCAGGTATGCTCAGCCAGAGCACAGCAAACAGGCCAGGCCACATCAGGGGCCCAGGTCTCCAGCTGGAGGGAACGTCAAGCCCCACTCTGGGGGACCGTGGGGTGGTCAGATGTACACCCTGGGCATGGACGGTGACATAGGCACCACAGAAGAGCTTGGCTTTGGTGACCCTCCCCAGCTTCGGAAACAAGCCAAAAAGCAGCTTTCTGCAGAAGGAAACCTTCCTTCTTTCCTTCCTTCCAGAAGTGCTGACTGTGGGCTGACTGCCTTTGGGCCGGGGAGTCTTCCGTCTGTTCTGAGGCTGCTTCCTCCTCTCGGCCCTGCCCTGCAGGTCATGAAGGAGAAGAGGAAGACGTCCTGCCCACACGTCTGCCAGATCGACCTGGAAGTGAGCAAGACACTCACAAACCATCTCCTGTTCAGGGATCCATGTGGAGTCAACTAAGCCGGGGTGAACCAGAGGGATGGATCTTCCCCGCAGCAGAAGCCGGGGTCACCCAGGAGGGATGACAGAGCGGCCAAGGACTCTCCTGGCCCAGGGGGCAGCTGGCACCATGGACCGAGCGGCTCCCAGGTGCCAAGCCCCAGGCCAGGCTGGAACGTGTGGGGCCAGAATCCAGGAGGATCCTGAGGAGACAGGGCAGCAAACAAAACCATGCGCGATGGTGAAAAGTGCTCTCCCTGACCCACGGGGACTGCTGGTAGCACCCACAGGAGGGCAGTAGGATGGAGGACCCATGAGCCTCCCCAGGCAGCACTGACAGCACCAAACGCTGGGGGCACTGGGAGTCTTGGAAACTCTCATCCAGGTCTGCTGGGAATGTGACGTGGCACAGCCACAGTTGGACGGTGGCTCACAAAGCTCGGTGGATTTGAACCACACGTCCCCAAAGTGTCACAGATATTGAACCCACTGACTTGGAAACTGACGTCCACATGAAGCCTGCATGCCACATTCACTGCTTCATTCATCAGCACGCACACACGGAGCCTTCCCGGACAACCTTCAGCACGGGAATGGGGCGATGGGGCGAGGAAGGCTGGTCCTCCCTTCAAACAGAAGACTCAGTGAGAAAAGGGAGCAAGCCAGTGATGTCTGAACGAACCTGGTGGCTCCTAGATGCGTTTTGCTAAGGGAAAGAAGCCAGAAACAGTAAGCGACCGCTAGGATTCCCATTCATAGGCCATTCTGGAAAAGGCCAAACCAGAGGGACTGAGAACCGGTCTGGGGGACCAGGAGCTGACGGAATGGGGGAGAGTTGGAGGAGGAAGGAGTCGCTCCAGGAGGGGCTGGAGTGGTGGCCGGGAGACTCTGCACATTGGGTTAGAACCGTGGCGGAACTGTACGCCCAAAGACTGAACTGGCATGTGTGCAAACTGAAAAAAAAAAAATCAGAGCAAAAATGATTAGTCAACTCACCATCCAACTGGGCCGTTTGCATTTCACAGATGTGGATTTCACTGAAACCTTTCATGAACAGTCAAAGGCCCTGAGGAGCTCACTGCTTATCTGGTGAATCATCTGAACCTGAAATGGGGTTTGCTGTTAGAGTTTGTAGACAAAGTGACACTAACAGCATCTGCACAAAAGAAACAAAAGCCCCCTTTCTCTGTTTCCTAGGCGGCGGGAACTGTATTCCACATCCTGCTGGCGTATTCAGAGTATAACCTGGTGAGTATTCCCGGGCAGTGACCATATTCCCAGGTCATAGTCCCTTATTCACCGGGGTGGGTGTCTACTGGGGGTGTCATTGCTTCTTTCAAAGTCGGTATTTGTGACCCACCAGGACATAGAGGGCATGACTCTAGCTCACCGCTGGCATAACCTCCAAGCAAAGGGGGTGGTCTCAAGGGGTCTCCAACTGAGACACAAAGGAGTCAGGGCTCTGACTCCTCGTGTCACCTGGGCCTGACCACCACTTCTCAGAGCAAGAAATGACACCTTCCTCCTGGGGCTGCCCCAAAGCCCAGGAGCTTGGCGGTGTCGGATGCAGCACGGTGCTCTCAGGAGACATTTTGACAAGTCGCTGAAGTGCCCGATGGACATGGCTCTTGTCATGAAATGAAATGAATTGGCATCCTCAGGAAGCCTCTTCTTCAGAGGAAGCCTCCCCAGTTCATCTCTGCCCTCTCTGATGACATGAGTCCTCTAGGTGACCTCAGCACCCAGGTGATATCCTTCCATGGGGATGTCCTTCCACAGTGACTCTGGCTCTTGCAGGAGGTGGGCTACTGCGGAGACCTGAGCCAGGTGGCCACCTTGTTCCTGCTTTATCTGCCTGAGGAGGACACCTTCTGGGTACTGCTCGCCAGTGAGAGGCACTCCCCGCAGGGTAGGTGGACAGCTGCCCCCAGGCCTCACGCAGCCAGACCCTGGGATGGCCACCCTGGTTAGGTGATCTTGACTTTCAGTGAAGGCACTTTCCTGTATCGCCAGCTTGTTGGGAGTCTTTAGGATGTCTCTGCTGAAGGTCCCCCAGGAGCGCAGGGCTGACCCCCAGAGTCCAAGTCAGATACCTTTCATCCCCATCAGCAGAGGGCATCTCCCCCTCCCCGTGGCCACCTTCTGTGTCCTGGAGCCATGCCCTCCAGCTCTGATTCTGTGCAGCTGACTCTCCCCTGCCTGAGAGTCTTCCTGCCCTTCAGCTGCCCAGGCTCCGGCTGCCCTTGGTGCCCACGAATGGGCAGACCAAGCCCAGATGGCAGCATCTCCCCCATCCTGGGTCCCCTGGCCCAATGCCACTTCCAGAAGGCAACCACGAAGCCCAGCACCCACTCTATTCTGGCCGCCCTCTGTCGTGGCCTCAAAGTCAGCCTTGCCCTCCCAGCACCCTGGCCCAGGAGACCTCCAGGAGCCCCTCCAGCCAGGCTCCAGGGGCTGTTCCCACCCCTCCTCCCCAGACCCAAGGCTGCATGGTGGCGTCCGCGGATGGGAGGGTGGGAGGCCTCGGGGCTTGGAGGCCTCTGCAGCTGCCCAGCTCTTCCAGCTGACTGCTCCACATCCTGGGAGAGGGATCTGATTTCATGATGGGCTGGGGGCTTTTCAGGATTCCACAGCCCAAATGGCGGACAGTCCAGAGGCTCCAAGACCATCAGGAGCGTGTGGTACCCACGTCACAACCCAAGGCATGTGGCATCTGGTGAGTTGATGGTCCTCTCAGCTCTTCCCCAGAGGCCCTGCATCACATGGGGCTGGAGGAGCAGGGGGAGCTGGAGCCCCTCCTGGGGCTGGTGACAGGCTGAGTCGCAGCCAGGGCCTGACCTGGGACATGGGGTTCTCTGTGGGCCGGGAATTGGGGTTTTTTTCCAGCCCTGGAGGAGACAGAGGCCCAGGGACTGGGGTCCAGCTCCCGCAGAACAGGGCTAATGGCAGTTGTGTCCCCCAGGAGTGCAGGAAAGAGACCGTGTTGTGGGGAGCCCTGGACACTGCCCAGTGTTCTGCACTTGGGGAGGGGTCTTCAGAGGGCCCTGGAAGAGGGAGGTTTCTAGAGCAGTCCAGAGGCCCTGAGCACCTCTGTTCCTCCCATCAGGACAAGGAAGGACTAGGCGCACAGAGTTAGGCTGGCTTCTCTGGATGCTGAGTGACGGGGTAAGGAGGCACAATGAGGCCCTGGCTCAGGGACCCTCCTGCCCTGCAGTGCCCTGCTTCCCCAGCCCGGGGGAGTGGTTTACCCCCAGCCCACAGGTGGCTCAAGCAGGTCCCCGAAGGACACACAGCAAGACCCTCTGCCCAAGAGGGTCATCTCAGGGCAGAGGACAGGACTCAGGACTGCCCTCATGGGCAGGCAGGGCCAGGACCCAACTCAGGGAAGCCTCAAGCCCTGGGCAAGCCCCTTCTCCAGAAGCCACGTCCCCACTGAAATGAGTGCCCCCCATGAAGAGCTGTAAGACCTTGTTTGACCCAGCCTCCCAGAGGGGTCAGGCCACCCTGATGGGGAGTGTCGCCGACTCTGGGGACTGAAGCCCCAATGGGCCCAGCTTGAGCCCCCAACCTGTCTCAATAAAAAAAAAAAAAAAGAAAGAACATAAGAGTGGGACACTGTAAGGGTAAGAATGATTTCATGAAGTTATTTCACGTCCCGTGTGTGTATATACACATACGAAATGTTTCCTATTGTAGATCTTGCTCCGAAAAGTTTGGTGGCCATTATTCTAGCACAGCAGTTTTCGATCAGAGGCGATTTTGTCTGTCAGAGGACATGTGACAATGTCTAGAGATATTTTTGACTGTCATAGCTTGGAGGGTACCACTGGCATCTAGTGGGCTGGAGACTAGGCTGCTGCTAACCCTTCTGCTGTGCACAGGACAGTCCCCACAGCCAAGAATGATTCTGCCCAAAGGGTCCATAGCGCTGCTGTTGAAACTGATTCCAGCGGAAGAGACAGGCACGTAGACACATGAAAGAGAGCAGGGAAGGGGATTACAGGGCAGGTGGCAAGTGAGCTTGGGAGGGAGAGGGCAAGGTGGGGGAACTGGTTTCTGACTCACCAGCTCTACTGGGCACTGACCTGAGTGGAAAAAAAAATTTTTTTTTTTTGAAATGGAGTCTCAATCTGTCTCCCAGCCTGGAGTGCAATGGCGCAATCTTGGCTCACTGCAACCTTCACCTCCCAGGTTCAAACAATTCTCCTGCCTCAGCCTCCCCCTGAGTAGCTGGGACTACAGGCATGTGCCACCATGCCCAACTAACTTTTTTATTTTTAGTAGAGACAGGGTTTCACCATGTTAGCCAGGATGGTCTCGATCTCTTGATCTAAAGATGAGACACATACATTAAAAAAGAGAGAGAACGAAAAGACAGAAAGCGAGATCACGAGGTAAGGAGATGGAGACCATCCTGGCTATCACAGTGAAACCCCGTCTTTAGTAACAATACAAAAAATTAGCCAGGCGTGGCACCTGTAGTCCCAGCTACCTGGGAGGCTGAGGCAGGAGAATCACTTGAACCCGGGAGGCGGAGGTTGCAATGAGCCAAGATCACGCCACTGCACTCCAGCCTGAGCCACAGAGTGAGACTCTAAGAAAAAGAAAGAATAGAAAGAGAGAGAAAAAAAAAAGGAAGGAAGGAAGAAAGAGAAAAGGGAGGACGAAAGGAAGAGAGAAAGAAAAAGGAAGGAAGAAAGAGAGAAAAAGAAAAGAAAGAAAGACCGACCAGATGAGGTGGCTCACGCCTATAATCCCAGCACTTTGGGAGGCCGATATGGGAGGATCACCTGAGGTCGGGAGTGTGAGACCAGCGTGCCCAACATGGCGAAACCCCGTCTCTGCTAAAAATACAAAAAATTAGCCAGGCGTAGTGGCACGTGCCTGTAATCCCAGTTACTCGGGAGGCTGAGGCAGGAGAATTGCTTGAATCCAGGAGGTAGAGATTGCGGTGAGCCAAGATAGGGCCATTGCACTCCAGCCTGGGCAACAAGAGCAAGACTCCATCTGAAAAAAAAAAAAAAAAAGAAAAGAAAAAAGAAAAAGGGCCAAGAGTGGAGTATTAGGATTTAGGATGTCTAGTACAAAGCAGCACGGTTAGGGGTATGAACAAGTGAAAGTCTCGGAGTAGAAAGCAAAGAACTCTGTTTATTAATAATAATCACCTGTTCAGAGAACAGCGTTCTGAAGAGTTCTCTCTGAACAGGTGATTATTATTAATAAACAGGTGTTCTGTGTTCTCTCATAGACCCGAGATAAACTAGGAAGGCAGCTGGTGCCTGCTTACCACTGATCAAGGACAAACTAGAAAGTATTCTCCACGAGGGAGCCACGGGGGCAGGGTCACACACCCCGTGCTTAAAGAATTGTTGTAACCGGTGTATGATGTACATATACTGTTTGCTAATTTAGAATGCCCCAGGCAGTTTTCCACTGGGGGTGGCGGCTAGGTTTTCCTTGCCATCATTCCTCTTAGCAAACGATATAATTTTACCATACATTCAGCATTTCTCAACACACCGTGTTGGCCAGGCTAGTCTGGACCCCCTGACCTGGTAATCTGCCCACCTCAGCCTCCCAAAGTGCTGGGATTACAGGCATGAGCCACAACCCCCAGCCTCTGATTTTTAAAAATTTTATTTTTATTTCTTCAGGTTGAGACAGAGCTTCATCTGTGGTGACATTCTGGATGTACTGGACAAACACCTCATTCCAGCAGCTAACAACGGCAAGTTCAGTGTTGGCTATTACGAAATGTAGCTTCTATACTAGGAGGGATTAAAAGTCGGCCCTTTTCGAATCATGACTTTCTTCTACGTAGGTTTTCAACTTTTATTTAAAAGTAACTGCTTAATGTGAGAAGGATAGTTAGTACTGGAATAAAAAGATGGCCAGGCTGTGATAACAATGCATTAGCTTCCGCTTTCGTGGGACCGACCCCGTTCCCCTCCCCCAAACACCCGTACATTTCACAGTGCGTCTGAATGGCTCGCGCAGAAATGTTGTTTTACGATTAAACACTGTCGTGCTATTTCTTGGAAGCACTTGCTTAATTCTAGTCTATCAGGTGATAATGTTGCTGATTTTTAGAGGCTCCTCAGTTAACATCTGTGGGGCTTCGGCTTGTGTTTAATAAGCAAAATAATGTGAACTGTGTATGGAAAAAAATGAAAGCCAATTATTCCTGAGAGTGCTTAACATTATTGAAGTACACTCGTTACGTATATTTTGTCACATTTTATATATTTTATATAGAACAATGTTAGCTATTTTCCTTTAAAAATCATTGTTCCAGCCGGGCGCGGTGGCTCACGCCTGTAATCCCAGCACTTTGGGAGGCCGAGGCGGGTGGATCACGAGGTCGAGAGATCGAGACCATCCTGGTCAACATGGTGAAACCCCGTCTCTACTAAAAATACAAAAACTAGCTAGGCATGGTGGCACATGCCTGTAATCCCAGCTACTCAGGAGGCTGAGGCAGGAGAATTGCCTGAACCCAGGAGGCGGAGGTTGCGGTGAGCCAAGATCGCGCCATTGCACTCCAGCCTGGGTAACAAGAGCGAAACTCCGTCTCAAAAAAAAAAAAAAAATCATTGTTCCTGGTGTAGGGTTTTTTTGTTGTTGTTTGTTTTATGAAGTGTCACTTTGTCACCGAGGCTGCAGTGGCACCATCTCGGCTCACCATCTCGGCTCACTGCAACCTCTACTTCCCAGGTTCAAGTGATTCTCCTGCCTCAGTCTCCTGAGTAGCTGGGATTACAGTTGCACACCACAAGCCTGGCTAGTGTTTGTATCTGTAGTAGTGATGGGGTTTCACCACATCGGCCAGGCTGGTCTCGAACGCCTGACCTCAGGTCATCCACCCGCTTCAGCCTCCCAAAGTGCTAGGATTACAGGCGGCAGCCACCGCCCCCAGCCTTAATTTTGTTGTTGTTGTTGTTCGTTTGTTTGTTTAGAAAGGGAACTACCACAGGTATCTGGCAGAATTTGCCATAGGAAAGGACAGGAAGGTGTCTGTGGAGAACAGCCTCATGGCTTACAAAGCTGCTAGTGATGTTGCAGTGACGGAATTTCCACCGACACATCCTATTCTTGCTCTCAGTGCTTTTGTTTTCTATGAAGTTCTGAATTTTCCCGACCCTGCCTGCAGGTAGGTTGTGGGAAGAGCACAAGCTCTCAGTGTCAAAGTGAAGAAGGAGATCTGCCTTTTCCACGTTGCTTCTTGGGACTGCTTTTGTAGGCTTGGCTGTGTAGTAATTCCTCTGGCTCTGATTGAAACCACTTTGGATAGTATTAAAACAGATCCGTCTCAATACTCCACAGCTGTTTGTTGAATGACTAGATAACAGCACGGCCGGCTGGTCCTGGTGCAAAAAGTCTTGGGAGGCCTCAGTTTGAATCCTGCTTCTGTCATTGACCAGCTGTGTGATTCTGCATAAGTATTTTAACCTCTCTGGGCCTCAGTTTACCCATCTGTAACTTGGGGGCCTCCCTCAAATGGGTTCCTGGTGAAAGTAACAAGACCATGGCCTGAATAAGTCCCAGTTGCCTCTTCCTCTCTTTCCACCCTCCCCTCCAAGCCCTCCAAATCTTTTTTTTAAAGAGGGTCTCACAGGCTGGAATGCCATTGCAGCCCCTACCTCCCAGTCTCAGGGGATCTTCCCCCCTCAGCCTCCCAAGTAGCTAGAACTACAGGTGCGTGCCACCCACTCCCGGCTCATTGGTTTTGTGGTGTGTTTTTGATTTTTTGGTATTGACCGGCTTCCTTCCTGTTGGCCAGGCTGATCTTGATCCTCCCACCTTGGCCTCTCAAAGTGCTGGGATTATGGGCGTGAACCACCCACTGCCCCCTCGAAGCCTATTGAGACGAGAGTCTCGCCAGGGCGATGCAATCGCAACATGACGTTTCCATTTACTTTGGATCCTATGTCACTATGTATATTGACGAGACTTAAAAAGGACCCCTTCGAGGGGGTCAGACGAAAGTACAAAAATCGCGTGGCGGGGCTGCAGTGTGAGGACGCTGTCTGCAGCCGCAACGGCAGCAAAACCGCGTTGAGCCGTGCGCGTGAGTCCGCGTCGACGACAAACGGTCCACGCAGCGGGAGGCCGACTCGGTTTGCGAAGGAGCAGCGGGCAGGGCGCGGTTCCTGGCACTCGCCACCCGGAGGTCAGGAGGTGACGGCCTCGGGCTGGAAGACGGGCGGGTGCGGCCGGGGCGAAACCAGGGCGGGTTGCACGCGGCGCCTCGGGCGGCCCCTGGTTGCAGACACCCGACTTTGGCATGACTTTTTTAGTTGCTGGCATCAGAGTTCCTGTCTTTGTGGGGCTGATGGACTAGAGTAAAGACACCCGTTGAGCCGGGCGCGGTGGCTCACGCCTGTAATCCCAGCACTTTGGGAGGCCGAGGCGGGTGGATCACGAGGTCGAGAGATCGAGACCATCCTGGTCAATGTGGTGAAACCCCGTCTCTACTGAAAAAAACACACAAAAAAGTTAGCTGGGCATGGTGGTGCGTGCCTGTAATCCCAGCTACTCAGGAGGCTGAGGTAGGAGAATTGCCTGAACCCAGGAGGCGGAGGTTGCGGTGAGCCGAGATCGCGCCATTGCACTCCAGCCTGGGTAACCAGAGCGAAACTCCGTCTCAAAAAGAAAAGAAAAGAAAAAAAAAAAACCCGTTGAGAGTCGAAGGTAGAGCCGCTTCTGCAGCTTCTCAAAGTGCTTTTTTTTTTTTTTTTTTTTTTTTTTTTTTGAGACAGTCTCCCTCTGTCGCCTCCCTGGAGTGCAGGGGCGAGGTCTCAGCTCACTGCAACCTCCGCCTGCCGGCTTCAAGCGATTCTCCTGCCTCAGCCTCCCGAGTAGCTGGGACTACAGACGCGCACCACCACGTCCCGCTAATTTTTGTATTTTTAGTAGAGATGGGGTTCTGCCATGTTGGCCAGGCTGGTCTTGATCTCCTGACTTCGTGATCTGCCCGCCATGGCCTCCCACAGCGAGCCACCACGCCTGGCCACAAAGTGCTTTCTTTAACAGACAGTCTATCTGCAGGGGGTCTAGAACAGTTCTGAAATCCTGGTGAAGGTCTGGAAATTTCCTGTAGGGGGGCTCCTCTGCCCGACTGCCCACGGGGCCCCTGGGCTGGCTGGCCAGTGGGCCCTGCCTCCCAGCGTCAGCCTGGACCCTCTTTTGGGACCAGCCCCATTGGCACAGCCTGAGCAGTAGAGGGCCCTGGACTGGAGTCTGGAGTTAGGGGTTCTTGTCCCAGCTGTGTCCCTGCAAGCCCCTTCCTCCCATTGGGGCTCAGTTTCCCCATGTGCCTAATAAGGAAGTAATGCTAGGAGGGGCTTACAGCCTCCTTTGCCAGGCATCACTTTGGTGTCTTCAGAGAGGCTGACAAGTCTCCTCTCCGAATGAGGCCAACAACAAAAAAAAGTCATGCCAAAGCCAGGTGTGAGTAACGTGGGGCTGTGGGAGGCCCCGCATCCTCCGCCTCCCAGGAGCGAGCAATTCTCCTGCCTCAGCCTCCCCAGTAGCTGGGATTACAAGCGTATGCCACCACACTCAGCTAATTTTCGTAATTTTAGTAGAGACAGAGTTTTGCCGCATCACTACTAAAGCAAAGGAGAAGATACCCAGAGCTTACCCAGACACCAGACCCTTTAGAAATAGACCACCACTTGGGCCAAGCATGGTGACTCACACCTGTAATCCCAGCCCTTTGGGAGGCCAAGGTGGGAAGATCACAAGGTCAGGCGATCGAGACCATCCTGGCCAACATGGTGAAACCCCATCTCTACTAAAATACAAAAAAACTAGCCCGATGTGGTGGCACATGCCTGTAGTCCCAGCTACTCAGGAGGCTGAGGCAGGGGAATTGCCTGTACCCAGGAGGCAGAGAGTGCAGTGAGCTGAGAGCACGCCACTGTACTCCAGCCTGGGGACAGAGCGAGATTCAGTCTCAAAAAAAAGAAATAGGCCACCTCTTACCCTAAGCCCCCAGAGGGTCCCCATTTTGCTTCTTGGAGAAAAGAGGAGCCCTTGCCTCAACCCCAGAGGCTTGGGTGGGGTGGCTGAATTGTGGGGCTGGGTTAGGTGCCTCTGGAGAAGCCCAAAGTGGCATGGGTGGTTTCAAAGCCAGCTAAAGGATAAGGTGTCAGGACGGTGACAAGACCCCTGGTCCCTATCACACACCAGAGCTTACTGAGACTCCGCCTGGGGTCTCTGCTGAGTCTTCGACAGACCAGGAGGGAAGGGATTGGGGTACCAACCCCCAGAAAAAGAATGTGGCAGTCGGAGGACCTGGGTTTGAGTCCTGGATCACTCCTTCCCGGCCTTGGCACCCTACTCAGACTCTGGAAACCTGTTTCACCTGTAAGATGGGGACGACAATGAAACTCATGTGAAGGGCTGCGAAGATGTGTTCAGACAAGTGCAAAAACCTTCACACACACACACAGCCTTCCTAAAGATGGGGAGACGAGGCCTCATGAGCAGCGTGTGGCCAGGTACTACGTGGGGGTTGGGGTCCTGCTTTTCCTGCAACCTGGGAAGGGGCTGATGGGCACTTGGTGGGATTGAAATCATGACCCTGGACCTCAGGTGGTAGTGTGCTTTGTGTCTGCAGCAAAAGGTCCCACCCTCGTGCCTGTGAGTCTCACTACCTGTGTTGAAGGGGTGACATCAGAGGGGTGAGGTCCAGGCTGGCAGCTAGCAAGACCTCTCTGTGTGAGCCCAGCACCCCAGTTCCCCTGAAGTGTGATGGCTGCCTAGTAGTGATCTGGGTAGGGGAGCACGTGGATCCTAGTTTCAGCCCTTCCAGAGCTAGAAGGCCCTGGGCAGGTCACCTGCCCTCCTTGGCCCTATTTCCATCACGCACTGATGGGCACACTGGACTCTGCGGCTGTACAACTCCTTGACTCTGCATTGTTCCTGAGGGCCCTTTAGTAGGCAGAGAAAGTTTGAGGGCTTCAGGGCCGGGCCACAAGATTCAGACGCTCTCAACCCCTTCCTTGAGAGCCTAACTCAGGTGAGCAGA